CCATAAGATAGGCATAAACTTGATCATAAATAATTCTCTCAAAAACTTTCGCCACCACTGGAATTATAGAAATTGGGCGATAGTTATTTAAATCCCTACGCTCTCCCTTTTTAAATAATGGAATGACTTTTGAGCATTTCCATTCGTTGGGGAATGTACCAGAGTTAATAGAACAGTTAAAAATTGCACATATTGAATCGGCTATTAGGTCGGAACAATCGCAAAGTAATCTGGCTGATATATTATCCAAACCCGTGGCTTTAGATTTGCAAGGTTTAGACAAGAGGGTACCAACCACCGACGGACTAGTTGTATTTAGTCGAAAATTATCATTAAATTGACTTGGCAAGTAATCAAGGTGTGTACCACCATTCCCAATATAGGGAACTTTCTGAGCAAGTTTAGAGCCTATGCTAGCAAAATGATCATTGAACACCTCGGATAACTCATTAGGTTCTGTCACTGTAATGAGTTTCTTTAACAAGTTTAATTTCATTTGTTACATAGTTTCGGAACGTCTTAAATGCAGCACAGTCATTAGAATCTTTTGAACGAATAGCCTTAACTTTTAGAATATCTCTTTTGTGCTTATGTTGTTTTAATTCAGGCGTTATCCACGGTGACTTAGAAGATCTGACACGCCTCGTCAAAACAGACAAATCGAACGGACAGTATTAAACGAAGCTAAGGTTTCGCGAAACACGAAAAAAGGTTCGTTTAATTAATAGTGGTAGAGATATTTGTTAAAACTATTTCTAATGATTAAAAATGATCAAATTAGCGAAAGCTTGTGAATAGTGTTTATTACAGCTATATTGGGGGAGTTGAAATGCAAATTGTTAAAAGTATTATCGCTGATTTTTTGTCATTTTTGTTTTGTTGTTGTATACGCTAAAACAATAATTTACCTCAGTGTATGTGAATAGGTAGTGCTCAACAACCTCGGTCCCAAGGTCTTTCCTAGGACGGCGCGAGGCGAAGGAAAGACCCTGGATTTGGCTGGTCACGTGTCACCCAGATTGTGGGTAATAAATTAAAATTATACTGTGGGTAGGGTGGGAAAGGAACGTGTTTGTTGCGGAGTATTTGCTCTCAATATCGCAAAACAGCTATTAGTATCCAGTATCCAGTTTTTGATGTATATATAGCTTATTTGGGTACTTATAATATAGAATAATGAAAAAAAATTCTCAAACTCAAATTTTGGGAACCAGGGGGTGTGTCTTTTCCAACAAACTAACAATGGCTTGCGCACGAAATTTAGAAGCTTTGGATCATATTTTGAGTTAATAGATGGAAAAGTTGTTGGGTTTTTTTATTACGGTACATAATTTCAGACAATTTGCTTTAGTTTAAGCCTTTTATCTATTCATTTTTTCCAAAAAATCAGCCTTTCGCATGCTTAATGCCTTTACCTAATGTGCATATTGCTCCTATATGAAAATTAGGCAAAGGCATAATTAATTTAAGCATGCAAATAGCTGATTTTTAGGAAAAAATGTAAGCTTGCGTAAATAGTTAAATGGCTTAAACTAAAGCAAATTGTCTCAAATTTTGTACAGTAATTAAAAACCCAACATATTTTCCACCCATTAACTCAAACTATGATTAAAGCTTTTAAATTTCGTGCGCAAGCTATTTTTAGTTTGTTGGAAAAGGCACACACCCCGGGTTCACAAAATTTGAGTTAGAGAAATGTTTTCTTTATTCTACATTATAAATACTCAAACAAGCTATATACATCAAAAACTGGATACTAATAGCTGTTTTGCGAAATTGAGAGGAATTTCAAATCTGATCAATTTTTTTTTTTGGTACACCCTATATATTCTTAGTAATACAAGTGAGATTTAAATTTTTTGCTTTGTGGAATAGAATACCGTTATTTTTTATGGACAGCTTGTATTGTCTCTATCATATCCAGGATTGCTTGTGATATTTTTGAAGAATATAATATCTTGTGCGGTAGATGGATAGATAGATAGATAGATTTATTTGAACACGCTAACGTTGTCAACTCAAGCTGATTTCCACGAGGTTTATCGCTAGTCCTACTCAGGGCCGTTCCTATAGAGGCATATATGCATGTTCACATACAGTAAAAACAATGGCTTTCAAAAGAAATCCGTCGGGCAGAACACCAATATATGAATATACCCCCCCCCCCCCCCAATTATCGCGCTAGGAACGGCCCTGGGCTTACTCCTATATAGGCAATCAAATTAATTTAAAGATGTCAGACGCGTAGTAACAAGCTAGTAGATCGGTGCTAAGCATATCACGGTTTGCAAGGAAGGACAAATCTAATGGCATATTTTAAAAACATTAATTACATATTTAGAAATGATGACCATGCACTGAAAAGCCCATAAACGTTTGTTATAAAACCGCGCTCGAGTGTGAAGAGAGCATTGAATAACAAGACGGGAGATCACTGCGAGTAACGATTTGCTTGGTTCCTTGATTTGACTGTTTGTAAAAATGTAAGAATGTTCTTGTAAATTTAAAGCAAATAAAATAAACAAAAATTAGCAAGTATTATTTATATGTTTTTAACTGTTAAACATAATAGCGACCTTAAGATTCTACGAAGCGGCAGTCTACAACGCGCTAAATTTCCGCGTTGCAGCCTGGGGAGAACAACGTCTGCGTATTGTAAAATGTAGATTAAGATCTCGCGCTTTCAACTACGCGGATGTGTGTATTTTATAGACAACTGTTCATCAAGATGTGTTTATTTAGGCAAGCTAGGGAAGCCGCTATTTTGGCTTATGACTCTTCTTTTATTGATAAAGATGAGTTCGTACTTCTTTACGACATGTGTCATTCAAGAAACCCCGAATTACCATACCAAAACTACGAGTTTTGAATTGGACACCATCGACGAAGCTGAATGCGAGGTTCAATTTCGTTTTAAAAAACATGAAGTTCCTGTTCTTGCTCGTGCGATGGGTGTGTCTGGACGATTCACATGCCCACAAGGAACTATTTGCAACGGAATGGAAGCTCTGTGCATGCTGTTTCGGCGATGTTGCTACCCGTGTAGGTATAGTGACTTGGTTTCGATGTTTGGTAGACCCGTCCCAGAGCTAAGTATGATTACAAACCAGGTTGTGGATTTTATTTATGACCAACATGCTCACAGGCTAACACAGTGGAACGACCAGCTGCTTAGTCCTCAATGCCTTCGAAGATATGCCGAAGCAGTGGCTCGTAAAGGGGGTGCATTGGCAAATTGTTTTGGTTCTATTGACGGGACAGTGAGGGCAATATGTCGCCCTGGGCAAATACAGCAGTTGGTTTACAATGGTCATAAGCGTGTCTATGCATTGAAATTTCAGGCATTAGCGCTACCTAATGGCTTAATTGGAAACTTATTTGGACCTGTAGGTATGTTCACATGTTTATGCCGGAACTGGTATTTTAATTTTTATTGTTTACATCACACACCCACGTTATTCCCCCAGAGGCTAAAATCCTGTAGCGTAGCAACAAAAAGTGTGGTTTTTTATAATATCATCAACTTTGATAGTGTTTTACTGTAATATTGTATTTATTAAATATTGTACGTAAAACATTGAATCCATGGACCATGATATTCATACACCTTTTGCAAAAAGGATAACACAATAGGACTGTAAAAGGTTTGATTAATTAATTCTTCTTTTGCATAATATTTTTAGAGGGAAGAAGACATGATTCTGCCATGCTTGTTGATTCAGGCTTGTTGACTGCTCTAGAAGAGCATGCATTTGTTGATGGCCAGCCTATGTGTGTTTACGGTGACCCGGCATACCCTCTTCGCATACACCTTCAGGCCCCGTATAGAAACCGCCCATACATAACACCACAGATGGAAGCCTTCAACAAGTCAATGAGCACTGTTCGTGCTGCAGTTGAATGGTTGTTTGGAGCCATTATAAACTATTTTAAAATTTTAGATTTTTAAAAAAAAATTGAAAATTGGCCTAAGCAGCATTCGAAAGATGTATGTTGTTGCAGCAATTTTGAGAAATGCTCTAACTTGTATGCATACCAACAACACCTCAAAGTTCTTTGAAGTTGTCCCCCCTGCCATTGATGAGTATTTTGCATAATTTTATCAATATATGACCCACTATTATGTGAATGTCATTGACTTTCCCAACAAGGTTGGACCCTGGCAGTGCTGGGGTGAATTATTGGCTTTGTAGGGACTTTGCATGTAACGTCTCTTGCCTGAAATGTAAGGGAAATGGGTGGCTTTATCTATTTTTATATGTCGAGGTAACTATATATAGCTAAGTAGTGTTGGCAAAATGTATATATTGTTGCTGCAATTTTAGCAAATACATACCCTTACTTGCATGCAACCTAATAACACTTCAAAGTTTTTTGAATTTGAACCACCAACTGTTGAGGAGTTACTTCTATTAATTAAGCCAGTTTTCCACTTCAGTTGTATCGTACCAAAACATAGTCTATTTCTTTGTTTCCTAAGCAATGACTTTGGCTATTTTAAATTTTTAGATTTAAAAAAAATAATTGAAAATTGGCCTTAAAGCTGCATTGCAAAGATTTATGTTGTTGCAGCAATTTTGAGAAATGCTCTAACTTGTATGCTTACCAACAACATCTCAAAAGAAAATGCTATATATGGCACATTACGATACGGTTGAAATGGAAAACAGGCTTTAAGGATGGCTTATATATTTTCAGGTTTGAGATTTTGACACTCATAATATACATGATAAATATTTATACTCAATTCTGATTGGCTAAGAGCTGTGCAATTGTTTCAAAATGCAGTGCCAAAAAATGAAATACAATGCAAATTTCATTGACAATGGCTGGCATTTTTAGTAGATTTTCTATTAAAATTATTTATATTAACCCTTTAAGTGGCAATGTGCCCGCCCCATGAAGATGTGCCCTATACATCTCTATTATTTTACTGTCTTGTGCCAGGCAATGTTACTTGTCATGGGGAGAGTGCTGCCACTCAATGAGTTAAAATTAACTATTTTGCATGTGACCTATGCACGCATGTGACTGCATAATTTTTCATGTGTATTATTTATTAGTAATAGTATGGTTTCTTGTGCAATTTGGAAAAACATACAGTCTTGTGAGTTTTTCAAAGACTTCAAATTGCACGTGTCCTTCGGGCTCATGCAATTTTGATCGTCTTTGAGACACGGCCCTATGAAAATCATTATCAATTGATACCTGGTTACCGTGTATAAATTAGATAATTAAATACAAATACTCATGCATGTTTTCCCAAATTGTACTTGAAACCACACTACTACCTATACTAATATACTGTATATAATATTCAACTTTTCAATAATATAATAATTATGTATAATAATTGTGTAAATAACATTTCAATATAATGATCATTTTTTAAGTAACATTTCAATTTAATAATTTATAAGTAAATGACATTTCAATATAATTTATAATAACATTTTTTACAATATTCTGTAATGTAAATATTTAATATTTTCCATTTTTTTTTTCAAAATTCATTGAATAATTTAACATGCCAACCACAACAACAGGCCTTTAATAGTTTAATAGCAGATCTAATTTTCTTTATCAACAATCTTAGACAAAAGAGCTATTAGTGCTTGCCCTTGTTGCTGCTGTTGCTGCATTAAAACCATCTGGCTTGCTTGTACCTGATTATTTTGCTGTCTTTGCATTTCTAAAATAGCAGTCAACATGTCATTCTGTTGTTGCATAAATTTGTCTGTTTTTCCTTTTCCATTTCCTGGCGCTCCCTCTCTAACCTGTTGCTCTCTTCCTTCAGTTTTGTTTCTTTTTCTGCCTTTTCTGCTAAAAATGCCAAGGCTGTATTACCACCCTTTCTGACTTTGCGTTTGGGACTATCTTGATCTATTTTTGTATTTCTTTTCTGGGTCTCGGATAAAGTTTGCATGGCTCTTTTTCGCATCTCTTGTCCTGCCATGTGATCTTCTTCCAAACGCCTCTTTTCCCTTTCTCCCATATCTGCAGCCAGGGTTTCTGATGCTTCCTCTTTTTCACTTATCTCCTCCAGCAGTGTGTCCAATTCTGTTAATTCAGGTGAAATTCCACTGGCTCGTCTTTCATCGTTTTCCTTTTTCCGAAACTGTTTGATTAGTTTTTTCAATCTGTCTCTGACAGAACGTTGCTCCACCTTGAATTTAGGATATTCCACTTTTTCCAATTTTTTTGCAATAGCTTCCCATACCTGAGCTCTTTCTGCCGACCTTTTCTTGGTTTCAAAAAGCTTGGAAGCAATAACCTCTTTGCAAAATTCGACATCATGCTCATTAGTCCATTTCATTATAAAACAAACTCTGTAAATGTAATAAACATAATAAATATGAGGTGAACGTTTCGGCAAAAATACGAAGATATACATTAAATTGAGTAAAAGCAAGTTTTCAGTAATATACTTTACTGTCTTTGGGCGAACATTTCACCATTTTATGTATTTTGCAAGAAACTAAGAAAACAAGCAACACTTACCCAGACTTGGACCCTTCTTTTTCTTCCAATTCTTTCGCAGATATAGTATTTTTTTCCATTTTTGTTCTTATTTTGGTAGAAAATCTACGACGACGTGAAAACTGCAAAACGGCGTCGTCGTAGATTAGATTCGCTGAGCAAGAACGCACGCGCATGCTCAGTTGCTACAAATTTACTTCCGGTGGCGTTGTAGACTGCCGCGTCGTAGAATCTTAAGGTCGCTATTGAAAACCTAGCGTGCGTGTCGTAATGATAATAATTATGACATTATATGTAGGGGGTGTTACTATGAATCATGATAATCCCGTACGCGTATAATAGTGGCTGGCTAGAAAATAAAATTGAATAATATGCATTTCGATAATTAGATTCATTTATAAGGATGATTTACACAAGAAAAATCACAGCAAAGACAAAAGCTTTGGCACTTTATTATAGAAAGTAATCGACGGGTTTTTCGAATAGGGAGATCGCGAGAAAATGTCATATAAGCCTTTCATCAGTAGTAAGATTATAGAGGGAAGACCAACAATTCTGAGATCTGAACAGTTAAAAAGCAACAAGGTCGCCCAGGAAACGTTGACGAGCGATCGTAATTGTCGCTATTTTGAAAGGATGGGAAAGGTGTGGTTCTCAAAGTTCCTTATGAGAAAATGAATGGCAATTTCTTTGCAGAGTTTATTGGAAAGCATTTTGATACTTGTTTGGCAAAGTGCGGACGTAAAAAAACGATCGTCGCCTGTTTTTCATGTATAATGACCAATCACAAACGAGTAAAGCAGCGCGACGAGCAATGGAAAAAATCGAAGCTGAATTTCACAATATTTCCGCTAGATCGCCTGACCTGAAGCCGATTGAAAATGTCTTTCACTTGTTAAAGAAAAGTCTCGAGAATAAAGCAATTGCTAATAATATAACGTACGAAAGTTCCAAGACTTTTCAGCGCGGGTTTTAAAATCCTTGGAAAATCTGTCAACCGATATTAACAATCGATCGTACTATTTCAAGCCTGTCAAGTCGAGTAGATACTGTTCTTAAAGCAAGAGGAAACCGCATAAAATACTTGGAGTTTTACTGTTCTATATAGTAATTCAAGGCAGAATGAGGGCAGTATAGATGAAAATAGGTGTAGCCATTTTTGCAAATAGGCAATTAGCTTGCTGTCAACAAGTAGATTAAATGCTAAGTACAATTACACGTCTTCACAGCGTGACTCCAATGGTGCAGCAACGCAAAATTAGGGGCGGACCATTAGAAAAGTGATGGGGGGGGGGGAACAAAAATAAAATTCGAGCAGGGAAAATAGAAAGAAAAAAATTCGTGCACCAGAAATGTCTGAAAAAAAAATTCGTGCAGAGACTTTTCATTAGGGAAAATTACAGGACCTATCGGAGGTACAGTGTAAAGGTGTTCCCTGAAATTTCGAAAATAAGCTTTTTCATCGTGTTTTAAGAAGTTTTCTCGGGGAAAATGTGTTTTAAATCTAATTGAATTGATCTTAGTCCGAAAAAATTTTATTTGACCCTATTTCTCTTTGTCCTGCAAAATTTTTTGAGTCCGGAAAAAAAAATTCCTACCCCAGCAGTTTTTGTTTTTCGAGCAAGGGATTATTTAAAAAAAAAATAACCGACACAGCCAACGTTGAAATAACGAGAAATACGAGAGAAAAGTAAACCTTTCTTCTACAGCATTGGAATAAAACTGTCAAAATTGGTAAACAATTCTGTGGAAACATACATAAGAAGAGCAAACGTTGAAATAACGAGAAATAAGAGAGAAAAGTAAACTTTTCTTGTACAGCATTGGAATAAAACTGTCAAAATTGGTAAACAATTCTGTGGAAGTAGATTTATGATGAACCGTGGTAGCGAAAGAACCGTTAGATCGAATGACCTTGACATCTAGAAAAGGAAGGCACGAATTATTTTCAAGCTCGTCATTAGTAAATTGAATGTTGGGGTGTTTCGAGTTTGGATAGGCGAGGAAAGTGATGTGAAAACAAGAAAACAATCATCAACATATCACTGAACGGTAGAATAAAGGCATAGAAAGAGAAGGGCAGTCAGCTAACCAGGATTTCCCATGAAAAGATAGGAATATATTAGCAAACAATGGACCTAAGGGGGAATCCATTGCTACACTGTCAACCTGCAGCTTGTATAGAACACCATCAAATAAAAATAGCAATTCTTCAAAGAAAGGTTTAAAAGATCTCTACATTGATCGCGAGAGATGGTATGATAGTGTGTATTACTATAGCAAAGGATTTTTTAATGATTATATCAATAGTTTCATCTAACGGTATGTTAGTAGCCATTATGACATCATTAGTATTAATTTTTAACTCACGTAATTCCTTAACAAATGAAAAGGTGTCATTAATTGTAAAAGTGTTAGTAGAAAAAGGTCGGAGAAAAGGAACAAGAAATTTAGCAAGTTTGTAGGAGTGAGTGCCTATAGCAGAGATTATAGGTCTAAGTGGGAAATTAGGCTTATGGACTTTAAGTAAACCATACATATTACCTGGTCGTGAGCCAATGCGATTAAGTTCTTTACTTAAATATTCAGAAATGATATCATTAAATTTAAGTTCGTTTATGAGAGTTCGGACAGCATCTTCACGGCGAGTGGTTTCTTTATATATGTTCGATTTCTTAAGGTTAATTTGTTCAAACTTAGTGTTATGGTCAAGATTTTTAGGCATTCTTCAGTTATAATCCGTGCGGTTGATAATGACAAGTCCATTTTCTTTATCTGGCTTGATGAGATAAATGTTGTTGTCGTTCTGGAGTCCTTCAATTATTTTGAACTCGTCATCGGAAAAGATTGATTTCGGCCGAATGTACGTTTTGTAACCCATCAAAGCAATATACTTTAACCGAATTTTAATCAACTCTTCATTGAAACCATTGATAGGGTTTTTCGCAATAGGCTCTTTCTTAAGGATCCCATATAATTTTTGAAGGAATCCTTCTTTTAACAGGTACAGCTCCCTCAACTTGGAACTAGCGATCATAATACCACTATTATCCAGACGCCTATTTCCAGGCCACAAAAGCCAGATAACAGTCCTATTTTGAAAAGAGACCTTAGGTATAGTAGCTTACGACGATTTGGCCAATGGACTTCCTTTTACGATTGGTCACCAATATTTACACGTTCATGACTGTGAACTAAAATTTTAAAAATTCATGACAATATAGCAAACATGCCGGAAAAGTTCTTGCTTATTATGCGTACGAAAGTAAGACAATCCGACAAGCCATGGATGACTCCCTCACTCCAAAGTTCCATAAGTAATCGCCAAAAAGATTGGTTTAACTACTGGCGCAACGAGACTCGTGGCACCAGCAACTGTTGTCTTCCGATAACTTTACCAGTAAACGTGTTGTTGATTCCATAGTTTGACTTTCCATTTCAGCCCACTCGAGCCCGATGATACCGTAACGCAATTGGATGTCTTTTCCTCCTTTCTGGTGGACACAGGTCAGATCTATCAAGCCATACGTAAGATCAAAACTAACAGATCTCCTGGCCCTGACTCAATCCCTAACAAAATCTTTAAAACGTTTGCCTTTGAACTTGCTCCTGTATTTGCCGATGTTTACAACTCATCCCTCTCATAAGCCGTTGTTCCCTCCCAGCTAAAGTTATCTATTGTCCGGCTCATTTCTAACGAGCTTCCTCGCACCTCCATTGAGAACATTTGGAACCGATCTCCTTGACCTCGCAAATTTAAAAAATTATGGAAAGATTTACAATCAACTCGTTGATGCCTCAAGTAATATATATAGATCAACTTGACGTTAAGCAATTCGCACTTTCGAAACTGGAACTGAAAACTTTATTTACAAATTGCATATTGAATAATGAATAATGATTTTTACAACAATGTGTAAAGAAAAATTTAGAAATAAAGCAAAAAAAGGAAATTATCGCAATTAAAAAAAATCCTTTTAGCATTGTACTAAACCGTAGGTAGCAAAAGCTATTCTGGGTGGCTAGTAAAGATTAGGGAATAACTTAAATATGATAATTATAATATTATATCGTGAAAATGTGTCATTGAAAAAATGTTAGTATCAAAAATCCCGATCAGATGAAAAGCCGTACACCAAAACCATTTGTTAATGATAAAAGATTCTCAGTTGAAAAACTGAATTTTCAAATTTTGCTGTTTGTTTATTTTTTTAATATTTGAGGGTGTATCATGATATAAATCCCCTTCACAAAATATATTGCGTAAGCTACTTTTCATTTCGTTTTTAAAATTATTTTTGATAATTTACGTATTTTGAGTGGAATACAATTCTAAACTTTTACTCCAATACGGGAAAAGAAACATCGTCTCTGATTTGTTCTTGAATATTTGACATGATACATATCTGATGAAATGGATTTTGTGTTATAAGTATGGATTTCAATGGTAAATGTAAATAGATTAGATCTTTTTGAAGAAGTAACGTTCTTGCACACGTCGTGCATTATGTCCATGATAGATTTAAGACAGATCATGTTTACTGGCAAGTTGTTTGAGTGAATAAATAAAGGGACAGCGTGAGTCTTATAGTCACTGAAGTATATTAAACGAAAAGCACGTTTTAGTAACTTCAGGAGTTTATCCATGTGAATATTGGCAGCCTGTCCCCATAAAGCAATGCTAAGTTGTAAGTATGGAGAAATCACTGATTTCTCACAATACTAAGTAATGTGTTTGTCGGTACAAAATGCCTTAATCTACTAATGATACCAATAGTTTTACTGATCTTTAAAGTTATATAATCATTGTGGGGTTTCCAAGTTAGGTTTGCATCAATAATAATACCAAGATACTTTACATAATCTTTTGATTCCAAGGAAATAAATGACTTGGTATTATGATCATAAATTTTT